AATGAGCTTTGAAATTAATTGGTGGGGATCTAGAAAAATAATGTACATAGATGATGCCTTTGCTGAAGCATTTCTTCTCCTACAACCTGACAAATATTTCTTTGCTTAACTGAATTTGCATGTGTATTAGTCAGGGTTCTCTAGAGGAAGAGAATTTACAGAATGACTCTCTCCTTCCCCCTTCTCTATATGTGTACTTTATTTTATGTAATGAGTGCTTACTTGTATGTATGCATGTGTGCCATGCACATTAATATATAGTTCTCTAGCGGTTTAGAGGTTCTCTAGAAAAAGAAAACTTATGGAATGAATCTCTCTCTCTCTACACAGACACATTCATATATATGTATTTCATGTACGAGTAGTTGTTTTTATGTACATACATTGCACCATGCATACATACAGACACACACAAACACACACACGGTGGATTTATTACTATGGTTTACAGGCTGTGGTCCAGCTAGTCCAACAATGGCTGGTTACCGAGGGAAGGTCCAAGAATCCGGCAGTGGTTAACTTCACAAGGCTGTATGCATTAACTCGTCTTCAGTACGTGCCAGAATTCTGAAAAAGTAGGCTCGAATGCCAGTGGAGAAATAGACGTGCCAGTGAGAGCAAGAGCAAGCGAGCAGAGAGAGCAAGCTTCCTCTTCCAGGTCTCTCACATATAGAATGCCAGTAGAAGTTGTGGCTCATACTAAAGATGGATCGTCTTACCTCAAAAGAACTAGATTCAGGGTGGGTCTCCTAACCTCAAATGATTTAATTAAGAAAAATCCCTCAGAAGTGTGTTCAGCCATTTGTATTTCAGTTAATTCCAGATGTACTCAAGTAGACAACCAAGAATAGCCATCACAGCTTGACTTGTATTTATTTTTTCTGGAAGAGATGCAACACTGTAACTGCTCTATGGAATCTAAGTACAATTGTGTGTAAGAAGCAAGGAGGAAGTACTATGATCTCTCTATTGTCTATGCTAGAGGAGAGTAAGGCGGGGCACCTTCGGAAGTTTAAAAGGAAGACTTCAGTAAATATTGATGATGATGACTATGGCCCAGTATTCGCTGGAATAGTTGATTAACTATAATGTAATAGAATAAAGCTCCGGAGCTGACGAAATGTACCAGCCAGTTCTTTGAAATGGCTGTGTGAAGGAGGTTAGTGAACATGCAGGTCCAAGGATTCCTTAGAGTTCTGCTTTCTGTGGCTTTACCTGGGACCAAAGGGAACTGTGTGCGTGTGTCACTGCCCTGCAAAACCAACAGTTTGAACTTTCCTTTAGAACTGAAGAAGCTCTGGTAATGCACCTAGCAATGACTCCTTTTGAATTGTGTGAACTCAACTCGATTTAGGCAAATAAAACAACTTTCAACCTGATCCCCTGACTGATTTTTTTTTCAGGTCCTCATGATCTTGTTTTTTGCACAACCCAGTCTTACTTCCTGCTATAATGTGTTGTGTCCATGACTGGCAAACATGACATGGTTCTTGCCGTAGAAATTTTGTTTATCTGCGACTGGCAGGTCTTCCCCTACTCTCTGGGGTACACATCCAGAGGCTTTTTGGTTTGCTTCAGATTGATGATGCAAGAATAATACCAGGGAAGAAGGAAACAGGTACATAGTGACCAGTGGCAACACTTTGAAGTCAAACATCTTTTTCCCTAGTACTGGGGATGGAATCAGGGCTTGTCCTTATTTAGCAGATGTGGTAGCACTGACCTATCCCCAAGGCCATACCCGATTTCAGTCACTTTCCAGTTATCTCAGATAGTTTAAGAAATCAATCCATTTCCCCCCAACAACATAAATATTAAAATATCAATTGTAAATATCATACAGTAGATTTGCAATAAATATATGTTCATGGATAACTTAAAGCTTGACAGAATTTTGTTATTTGTCTTAGGATTACTATTGCTGTGATGAAAGGCCATGACCAAGCAAATTGGTGGAGGAAGGGATTTATTTGGCTTACGCTTTCCTATCATGTTTCATCATCGAAGAAAGGGAGGATGGGACTCAACAAAGGCTGAAACCTGGAGGCGGGAGCTGGGGCAGAGGGGTGCTGCTTATTGGCCTCCTTTATAAGCAAAGTATGGCTTGCTCAGCCTGCTTTTTCATGGAACCCAGGCCTACAGTCTCCAGGGTGCCTCCATCCACACAGGCCTCCTTCATCAATCACTAAGAAAACGCCCTCCATGCTTGCCTAGAGCCTGATCTTTTGGACGCATTTTCTCAATTGAGGTTCCCTCCTCTATGATGACTCCAGTTTGTGTCACTGACATAAAACTAGCCAGCACAGAATGTGTTACATCCAATTCTCCAAACAGAGTTTAGTAACACAATAAATCATAAGATTTTATTGTAATGTAAGTCTCAGCAATTGCCAAAATGATGATCATATTATGGCAAGAGATCACTAGAATATCTTTTCAAGTTAAATAGAAGATCACACGTTATTTTGTTTATTAGTTCTTCGTGAATTGCATATCATGTATTCCAATACCGTTCATCTCCCCACACCCCTTGTACCCGGCCTTCACCTTACAACCTCACCCCAACAGAGGAAAAAAAGTATTGTGGAAGCTGTAGTGTGTCACAGTGTGTCCCACAGCACGCCCTTTTGTCTATACATCTTTACTTGCAAATGGTCATTGCAATGGCTCATTGGTCTGGTAGGAGGCCCCCAGCTTTTGCTACTCTATCAATACTGGAACCTCACTGGAACTCCTCTCAGATATCCTGCCTGTGTCATAAAAATCTTGGAGCTTTGGATCTATAGGACAAGCCCCTTAGTTTATTCATGCAGTTTATTAATGGTGTAGATGTTGGGGTGGGCCAATTCAGATCCCTGGATCTGGGTCTGCTGTGAGGTATCTGAGCTGTTCAGCCCAGTGGCTCTTCCATTCGCACACTCGGGGCTGATTCATTCGCAACTCCCACAAGCAAGGCCAGCTCTACCCTGCTACCTAAATGAGGTACAAAGCCTGCTGTCTCTAGCGTTGTAGCTGGTGTTCTCCCTCTTTCATGACCCTGGAGCCAGCTCTCCCACCTGCTGTAGATGGCAAGGAATGAGTGAGGGGAAGGTGTCACTCCCTCCATACCACCTCCATGCCATTGTACAGCAGACAAGAGGCAGGGCCATCTTTCCCACACTCATGCCCTTGGGGTTGGCTTACCTGCAGCCCCCAAATTACCTGCTGCCCAGGTGAGGTGCAGGGCCCACTCTCCAGCATACTGCAGCTGATGAGGGGCAGGGACAGCTCTCCCACTCTCATGATGCCAGGGCCAGGTCTCCTGACTGTAGATGACAAGGGGTAACAGGTGGGATAATCTTTCTCCCCCATGTTACTGCATAGCAGGAAAGTAATGAGGCCAGCATTTTCTCGCTCACCCTCTGGGCCAGCTCACCCGTGCCATCACCACCAGGGCAGCTCTACTGTGTTGTCCTGTGGGGCATGTGGATTGTGCATTTGAGGAAGTCAGAATGGAGCTAGACTAAGGTGGAGAGGTGTCCAAATCCTGGAAATCTCAGTCTTGAGGTCAGCAGGAGTAAGACTTGCTCCCTCCCTGCTCTGTGCCAGCATGGCCTGGCACACATAGTCTCTACCCCCTACCTCCACAATTCTCCGAATACTCAAGTAGCCTGGCACCTGAAATTCTTCTCCATGTAAATCTCAGCCCCAAACAATGATATGCACCCAGCTAGGCTTCATTCCTTCATCTGCAGCTTGCACACTCAGGGGCCTGAACGTTCTGATGGGAAGAACAGATCTCAGCGTGGCGCCTAATGACCAAAAGAGCAGTAACACTGAAAACTGGGGAGATGGACTTCTTTTCCCCCACCCCTCACGACTCCCTTCCAGACTGGGCTCCCTCACTGGACTCCCATGGTTATTCTTCCCAGCCCGGTGTGCAGCGGATCATGGATGTCCTGAGAGAGGAACCGGAGAACAGAACCACACTACCCGGGTGAGGCGCAGGGCAGCTCTTCTGTTCTCATGATCCCAGCGTCAGAACTCCTGTCTTCACCAGGAGTTGATGAGCAGAGATGGAGGACAGGGGACAGGGGACGGGAAATGGGGGATAAGGAGTGGGGGTGGGGAAGGTATCTCTGCCATGTCCATGCCACCTCTGGGAAGATGAGCGGCAGGGGCAACTCTCCCATTCTTTTATCCTTTAGGCCGGCTCATCTGTACCTCTTGCAATGTACAAGGCCTGCTCTCCTGAGTACTGCAGCTGGCTTCAGCTCTCCCTCTCCTGCTCTCCTGCCTCGTGGCCAGTTCCTTTCAGCATGCTTAGGCGAGGGGTGGAACCGGTTCTACACAGCCCTCAGACATCGACATGTTCCTGGTGGCATCCCAGACCAGGGACGTCCGCCTGGTCTTTGATGATAACAGACCCCTGCTGCTGCTGGGCCATGGACTCAGATGTGGCCCCTGGTGGTAACACAGGCCAGCACCTTGTCACAAGCCCAGGTGGCATCACTGGCTGTTTCTCACTACTCTTGAGTCTCCAGTTCTGCCTCTCTTCATTGGACCACATCCTGTTACTCTTTCTCTTCCTTTTCTCCATCACTTATTTGCTCCTCAGAGTGTCTGGGGTTGTCTCAGGAGTGCTATGTGCTGTTTGTGCATTATGGTACCCACCAGGGATGGTCTTGTGCATGCTCTGAACCCCCAGGCCTGCTCAGCACTAGAGTGGTGCTCCTCTATGGCTCGCTCCTATCCAGGCCTCAGGGTGCTGGTCTGGTCATTGTCTCAGACTCGCTCCTGGCCTGGACAGCTAGGCTGGTCCTTTGTGAGCATCGTCCGTCTCGAGCTCACTCCAAACCAGGATCCTTGTTCCCAGGCAGGGTACATCCGGCCTCCGAGTCCTGGTCCTGGGAGCACGTTCAGGCCTGCCTAGCACCAGGCTGGTAGTTGTGTCAGACTCGCTTCCTGTCCAGAGCTCTGGTGCCTGACTGGTGGTCATCTCAGGCTTGCTTTCTTCAGGGAGTGCTAGGCTGCTATTTCTTCAGATGTTGGTAGGCCAGGACCCTGAGTGTGGACACCACCTCTCTCCTCTCTGCCTCCTGCTGATGCACACGTGACACAGCAGCCACACCTGCAACGCTCCACGGGCAGGAGAAGATCACAGTTTAAGGTAGTTCTCTTCAGGACATAAAATGAAAAATGAGGAGTTGCTGGGAAAAATTAAACTTTGCACTGTATGACAAAGACAAAGAGTCTTGCTGGGAAATTGTCGTGGAAAATAGGAGTTGTGGAGAGATAGGATCTGTTTGATTTAGCAAACGTTCTTCTTATAAAACAATATGACTAATTAAAAGCAAAATTTTCCAACATAATATTTTATTGATTATTTTGGAATTGTACATAATGCACCCCAATCATGCTTGCTTCCCATTCCTCCTAGGTCCACCCTCCCACCCTTTTGCCCTTTCAGCCCCCTCTCCCCCCAAATATACCAAGTCAAATTTGTGTTGGCCAAGTACTCATTGGAGATGGTCAAACTGCCAGTTGGTGGCCCCTTAAAGATAACTGAGTTCTTCTCTAATCCTCACCAGAAGCCATCGACTGTGAACACCTACATTTCAGCATCTTTATCACAATTTTTAAGGACTCTCTTCAGTAACTTCCTGTCTGGACTATTTCTGTTTTTCTTTTCCTTTTGCACAGGTGTGGTGGTGGTAAGAGGTTGACACAGAAGCCTCTCATTCTCAGTTATGAATGTGCAGGCATCAACACCACTGCAGAAGCAGCTTCCTTGCCCTTAAGAGCCGGCAGCAGCATGGATCATGGACTTCCAGCAGCAGCAAAAAACACAGACCTCAGCATAGTCTCCAGTGGCAGCAGCACAGACCAAGAACATCAACATGGCGTCCAGGGACATCAGCATGTCCTTTGCAGTAACACAGACCATGAACATCAACATGGCCCTTGGTGGCAGCATGAACCAAGTACATCAACATGGCCTCAGGCCATGGACATCTAAAACATTCTCTTGCAGTAACACGGACCATACTACAGTAAAATTTTAAGATATGAAAATAAGCACAAAAATATATTCTAAAGGTAGTTGCCATAATCATTTGGGAATTGTTATTACAAAATTATGCTATTGCTTATTTTGACGTTGAATTTTTATTTTCCTTTAAAAATTTTTAAAGATTGCTTTGTATGTGTGTTTGTTTATGTGCATATACACGCATCCCATGATGTCTCTTCTTTTCCCTTGTTATGTAACAATGTTCATCTTTGTGAAAGGAAAGTAACCGTAAATTTACCTTTTGTATTCTATGACCACATGGAACATAAAAAGTCATTCTTATTAAAAGCAGAGTAGCAACCCTTAAGCATATTTGGTGCACAGACAGCTAGGTCTGTCCTGGCTATAGATCCATGAAATACACACTTCCGTTTTGACCCATGACTATTCTTCATTACAGTATTTGTACTCTGCTGTTCTATGGAATGCTAATGTGTATCAAGTATAAAGATGTTTTGAGTTGATGATGTCTCAAAAAGCTTCAGACATGTCAAGAGATGTGTTTGTTATTTGGGAGGTGGTCAGGAATGCTTCCCAGTAAGGGGTAACTGACTCATCCCCTATGCTCTCCTTTGAGAGGCTCAGTCCTTGGGCCAGATGATAACTTCCCTTCTTTGGTCTTACACACTAATTTGGGGTAACTACTAGCAGCTGCATCCCTTGGTGCCTTCTCTTGACCAGAAATAAAAATACTTGGATGGTGGAATTACATGTTCTCAAGGCTCGTTTGGCTCTAAGTCTTTTGTCTTTTCAGTTCCAGGCAAAATGGATTGGGGAAGGTATTCTGACATCACACTGCAGTGGTCATTTGCTTTTTCGACAACCTGAGACACTTAAGCATGAATCTGAGGGACCTAATGACTCCTCTCCCTGACTCTAGCATCATGGAACAAACATAAACAAAAGCCAAAAAGTAAAAACCTGTCTTTTGTTTTGGCTTTTTAGTACCTTCTGAAATTACTTATCTTAAAGAAATGATCTGCTTTTCACAATCACATCTCATGGATTTCCCTCCTTTCCTCTGTTGTACTTTTAATTTATCTTGAAACACGACTTTTCTATAATTTATCGAACACCAAGAGTTTCCATGTCTGCTGGGCTGCTAACCATAAACAGGGTAGCAGTAGAGTTTAAAGCATGGGATATTTTTTCTATCTTTAACTTACTTTGGCATCTGAAATACTTCAGCTGCTTTACAGACCACCATGTGCTCAACAGATCTGCACAAATTTGCAGTGATGTTTTGACTTCTGTTTTTACTCTGCCAGAAAAAAAAAATAGTAATAAAAAACCTGATGAAAACCTAGTGTGCCTGGTCAGCAAAGATGTATCCTCAAAGCAATTTTTGAAAAAAAATAAATGTGTAAATAATGTTTCCCTTTGTAAAATTAGGTGTGTTCATTATAGAAAAATTTAGAAAGCACAGACAGCATAAAGGAGAAAATGCTGATCGTGTATACTCATAACTGCCAGAGATATGATTAACAAGTTAGTGTATTTGCCTTTATTTCATATGCATCAACTGGTTTCTAAAAATAAGATTTTAGCCTGGCTGTGATGAAATACTCTTAAAATGCTCCTGAAGCTTGAACTACTTAGGTTGCCGATGATTCTTATTAATTCATTTTTTTGCAGTGAGAAGCACAGAACACTTTGACATAACTTTTTTCTTCAAAAGTAGTCTCTTTAGAAGGGTAGAGTCTTAAAAAAATGAATTTCCAGATCTTGATCTGGACTCGTTGCAGATGTACACTGTTCAGTCTTCCTTCTGCTGAGTCTCCCGCACATTCTGAAGCTGCCTCTTCACAGTGCACAGTGCACAGTGTTTCCTGTGCACAGTGGCATAGATTCCCCAGTTCCTCCCTCCCTCTCTACTTCTCTCTTTACCGTGCCTCTGTGGCCCCTCCCCAGTGTAACCGTTGGTATTGAGTTCTTAGGCTTTTATCCCATGGTCCTTTTCCTGTCACCATCACTCTCTGAACTCTGCGTTCAAGGCTTTGTTTGCTATGTTTATATCTAAATGTCTTATTATATATCTCTCTAATCCAGGAGGCTAAGGCAGGGAGATGGAGAGTCGAGGCCGGTTTGGGCTGCACTAGTGAGTTTGAGGCCAGACTAATCTATAGCAGAACAAAGTCAAAGTGGAATAAAACAACCCCCCCCCCAAAAAAAAGCAAACAAAAAACAGAGTTCCTGGGGCAGGAGAGATGGCTAAGGCATTAAGAGCACTGCTACTTCTCCAGATGACCTTGGAGTCTTGGCACCCACATGGTGGTTCACATCTGTTTGTAACTCCAGTTCTAGGGGATCCAGTCCTCCCCAGGTACCTGATATGCAGATGATGCGTCAATATATGTGTAGACAAAACATCGGACACAAATACAATTTAAGAAGCTAAGAACAGCTTTCCCAGTTGTTACCTTGTGTTTCTTTTTCATGATGAAAACATAACTGTAGATTATTTATCTTACCCATGCATTTTTTTTTCCTGAGGAGTTCCAATGAGATCACATTATGAATAGCAGTTTATCCAGGAGAAGGTATTGTAATGGAGGTTATGACCTATGCTGCACAATGCTCTCAGCTAAAGCCCTTTGCCTTTTATAAGCAGTGAGTTCTTTACCTGTTAGATTCACAGGCTAAATTTTATTTCTTAGTTCTAATAACTAGAGGTGTGTTTCTGTTCTGTTTTAGTCATAGTCAGATATGAGCCAGAATCTCTCAAATGATATCGGGTAGCCTGGAGATCTTGGGAACAGACCTGGTTTTCTTTGGATAGGTTTTGTTGTTGTCGTTGTGTAATGGTTTACAGTCTAGTTGGAAAAGCCAGGCATTTGAAGAATCAGTTATTTATGTCTTTAGCATATGAGAGGGTGAGTACAATGAAGCACATCTTAAGAGTGAGATTTCTAGGAGATAGAAAGCTGCTTTGCCTGACCTTAGTTAAATGAGGAAGCTGTACATGAGCACAGAGTTTTCAAGGAAGGCATAACCAAGATGGCGACTGGCTTTAGAGAGAGCAGGAAGCTGGTGAGTGCCCCCTTCATTATTTTTAGTTGAAACATGCATACTACCAGCTTGCCACATGCTGTCAGCAAGATCCTGCCCAAATCACTCAGGTCTTCAGAGGAGGTGATAGTTTCCTGCCTCCTGGAATGTGTGTGTTTGCTGTCCGATGTTACAGGCCATTTCTAGCAACTTCTGTTATCTCTGCGCAGTTCTGCGCTACACTACCTTCAATCTCTGAAGCCTTGCCTTGCTGCTCCAGCCATTAATTTCCCAGTGGGATGGAGAGAGAAGCAATTTTCAGTAGCACATTGACTACTACAGCTGTTATTGTATTATCTATGCAGCTTTCACCCAAAGTATCAATTAGCACTTATTAAGCACTTCATGTGCTCCAGGTAATATTCTGAGCTCTCAATTTATTATCTGGTTCCTGCCCTTACTGGTCCCGCACTGGCTGAGGTCAGGCTCATTGCCAACTTTAGCATTGGAGCACCAAGGGCAGAAGGTTAACTTTGCAGAGGTTTAGCCCGACTCCCAGGAAGAGGCTGGACCACATGGCCCCACAAATTAGCTATAAGATAAACACTCATGTTTATGTGGGGATACTAACAACTTTTATGGAGCTTGTGAGAGGGTGAGCAGTCACAGTTCCCAGAGGGTTTGGAAAGCCAGAGCAAGTCCTGAGAAACGAAGTGTTTTTTTTTTTTTTTCTTTTGTTATTGTTGTTTTGTTTTCTTTTTTTTTTTTTTTTTTTTCCCAGTAAACAGTGAATGCATTCTCAAGGCCAGTTATGGCAGAATAAGGCACAAAGGAGTTTCAAGTTAGGTTGAGATACTGTGTGAGGCAGGCACTCGCACACTTAGGCTGAGTGTGGGAATCAGAGCAGCCGTTATGGGAAACAGTGTGGAGGTTCCTCAGTAGCTTCGACAGGATGACCAGAGGACCTAGCTGTTTCGGTGCTGGGGATCTCTCTAAAAGATAAAAAACCACTGCGGTGGAAACAACCATCTCCCATGTTTGCTGCAGCCTAGGTCATCATAGCCAAGGTAAGTTTTCCGTTCTAAAACGGT